AATGCTTTGGTCCTTTGGATTCCAAAAAAACCTTTTAATCTTATCTTTTTTACTAAGCTTAGCTTCTTCTAAATGCATAAAATATGCCACTTGAGCACTAAGAAGCTCATCTTGTTTACTGGACGGCACCGAAAATTTTTTTCTAGGAGCGGACGTAGAAGGTGTCATTTTTTTAAATCTATTGATAAAACGGTCACAAAATGATGACAAAGATATTATATCGGAATAGTGGTTAAATTTTATTGCTTTAAAGGGGATGGAAAAAGTTTTTGGTATTAAGAGATAAACTTTGAGATATTTAAGGTAAAATGTGTAAGTTACGGATGTAAATGATAAACTGACCGAGGACATAAAAGATGGACTGTAGGAGGAGGGTCCGGATATTAGCAATTTTGTACTTGAACACATCCCAAGCAGAAGTTCCAAACAAAGGTTGTGACGTCTGTCCATTTAAAAACCACCAGTGGTCACCACGAACAATTACGTAAACCTTTATATGTCCTTCTTTTTTATAAAATAAATGTTTCAAAAAAGAACTTGTGAAATTATTATAAAGATTAAAATTTGTGAAACTGTCGGTTCAAAGGCTGCAGGATTATCGTAATTTTTTCGATTTTTAGAAAATTTTAGATTCTTTTCAAAATACAAAAACAATTTGATAGATCTATTTTTTTTATAACAGATTATGTAAAAAGTCATTTTTACAAAGATTAAAGTTAAATTCCTAAATAATGCACAATATTCGGTTTTACAACAAATGCATATTTTGAAATACGTGGCCACTTGAGACCCCCCGCCCTCATGAGTCGGCTGATCGATGCAAAGGGCATCGGTTGCATCTCTTTGTTAGAACCCTCATCCCCTCTAGTTTAATCATTTTAAAGAACGAAATTTTGCGTGTCCAAATTTGAAAATTGATTAAATGCTGAATCATTTCCTTAAGAAAACTTTTTCGTTCAAATTAAAATTGACTTAAACTCAGTGACGGATCTTGGATATTTGTAACCCTATATGTATATAACTTTTGGGGTTCTTTATTTATAAAAAAGTTAAACTATATAATTCCAAAAAAACTCGTAATTTTACAATTTTATGAAAAATGCATAGCTTGATAACTTATACGACCACATGTGTCGGGGTCCCTAGTATGTATGTATGTATGTAATGAGTATGAAAAAAAAATTAGGCTGTGCGTAAACCTGTAAAGGGGAAGGGTAAAAGTCTATTCTGAACAATATACCGGGCAATATGGTTTCTTATTGTAAAAAAAATAAGATTTTTGGTGATCCCAAGAAGAAGGTGTAGAAATGGATAGATGTGCAATAGTTGTTCTGAAAATTACGTATTTGGTGTGATAGATAGACATTTATTTTTATTTAGAAAACATAAAATTAAGATAAAATTTCTATGAAAATGATAATAGTGAACTTTCAACATTTGTTTCAAGAGGCATTGGTCTAAAACCTAAACCAGGATTTGTTCCAATGATGGATCGCTCTAAACGCCATTTAGGAATTCTAGGGTCAAGTGTTTGGAAAAATACCCACATACAAATAGCAACAAGAGCAGCCAAAATCCCATAAAAAATCAAATAAAAGAGTCCAATTTTTGCTAAAAAGAAAGGTGAATAATAAACCTAAAATATGTGTAGAAGCGTAAAAGACAAAAAGGTACACAAAAAATTCATCTCAAAGTAAATTTAAATTATCTTAATTAACCTAAATTTAGTGTAACGCCCACCTTGCAAACAGAGGTGTATAGTTTCTAAAAAATGTTACATGTAGGCCTTTCAGTTGGTAATCAAAAAATGATAATGAAATTGAAGTTTTTTCACAAATCTCGTAGTTTTTCATACATCTTACCCCAACTTTTTCCTGTGCGTCCCAACACAGTTCCTTTTTCTTCATTGTAAACTTTATCAAAAAAACTTGTAATGGTTGAATCTTTAAACTTATTGGAAACAGTCATTTTATATCACATTAATTACCTATCTACTATAAAGCCACAGGACGGAATATTTGTATAATAACTGTTTCTTCTGGACGGAATTAAAACTTTGTAAACAAACGCCACCTTACAGGTAGGCGAGGCCGTTAATGAGTATGCTCTGTTGTGGATTGTGTTGACTAATAATGTACAAAGACTGTAAACTACAAGATAGAATAAGAAACTTGGCAATGTCGCATCGTGAAATTCTTTCCCGATTCTTTCCTTACTTTCACTATATACAGGGTGTTTCTATTTAATAAATATAATAATAATACTTACTATTTATAGTATT